GGCAGCAGAGGTCTTCCAACAGGTTGAAAAGCAAGAATCAGAGAGGCAATAGTTGTACTGTATGGAGAGAACTGGAGCCAGCTCAATGGCACATTTTTTTAGGGTTACGGCTGGCATCCCGTAACCACTACTTGCTTTATGAGAGTCTAATTTAGAGATGATGTTTGATACCATAGACGGGTTATGCTCATCTCACTGAGTATAGCCTCAGTTTTAGGGGGGGAAATCAGGTTTGGGTACTCCCGATGAGTCGAGTGCTGAGTTGAATGAGAATGTCCAAATGAGAGAAAGAACAGATGAAGTAAAATTCCACAGTTCGGAACATTTACTACTTAAAAAAAGAATATATATAGTAACTTTAAATGCTATTTTACTGGATACTCATATTTGAGTAGACGCTCCGTCTTTTTATTAAACGGTATATTTATTTTCGTCTACTGACCTGAATATTGGAGAAATCTCATTAAAGAACAATGTACACCCTCTGGCAGAATTGAACTCTGCGTCCACTGAGTAGAAGGAACGGTCATTATTTCCGACAGGCTTTAATCGACTCAGCCATGAGGAATCTTTGCCGACCAAGCGAAAACCTTCCCGTCTTAGATTCTCGAAATTTTATCAGTTTCGTGTCCAAACGTAAATAAAATAATTTATCTGATAGAACGGAATTTATTCCTATGAAGGAGAACACAGGTTCTAACCCTACCGGAGGGGAAAAAAAATTCTTTTTGAAGTTTACTCAAATGCGCAGACCGGCAGACATAATACCCACTGATTAAAAAAACGGAACTTTTATTCAAATACATGTATCCACCAAAAATAACGATTGAGGCAATAAAAATGCGTAATTAAAAATAAATCCATTAATCCGTTATATATATATATATATATATATATATATATATATATATATATATATAACGATATATATTATACATATCATAAACATTATTAGGAAATTGTATACAATACTGGAGAAATTGTATGCAATTTCCCCAATATATATATATATATATATATATATATATATATATATATATATATATATATATATATATATATATATATATATATAGACAATAAATAATGTATATATATATATATATATATATATATAGGAATTCCATACAATTTCTCCAGTACTGTATAAAACATACATACACACACACACAATATATATATATATATATATATATATATATATATATATATATATATATATATATATATATATATATATATATATATATATATATATATATATATATATATATATATACATATGTGTGTGTGTGTGTGTGTGTGTGTGTTAAATTATGTAAAAAGCATCAATAACACCATCTACTCACTTTCGTTTATTAGATATTAAATTACATTTCTTAGCACTCCCCATGGTTTAAGTGAGCTTTCAGTTCGCCTGAAGTGCATTAAGTAGGTACCTTCAAAAACAAAACGAAACAAAACAAAAAACAAAAAAAAAAAATAACAAAAAAAAAAAACGAAAAAATACCCAAGGTTTAAAATAAATTTAAAAAATGAAATATCTTTCTTGAAGTTCTTTTTTTTTTAATTTTAACCTACTTGATTAAATTTAATATTACCAATAAGCAAAATACTTTGCTGTATTTCAAAAACAAATTAAATTGACTGGAAGGAGTTTTTTCTGCTATAATAGCTTATTAGAGCCCCATTTACTGTCATCTTTCATAGCAATATAATCCTTTTATAAAAAAAAATCTTCCAAAAATAAAATATACTTTTCTGAAACTTTGAGGAATACTAGCTGATTTCAAGTAAAATTAATCTGATTTGAAACAAATATTATTAACTTTAAGTTTAAAATATCACAGAAATGCACCTTTTAACCAGACAGTAGCTGTGTTCTTAACCCAACAGTAACAGTTTCCATGTGTTGACAGCATGATTACAATATTGTTCTACGGAGATTTTATCTGTAAAACATAATTTAAGTAAATGACGTGGGCGCCTTTTTATATAATTTTTAAGTACTCAGTCATCTTAAAAATTCACGAAAATATTCTCCGTATCTAATGTTTTATAATGGCGTGTTTATAAAATAGGCACATTTATACACTTACAAAAAAATTAAAAATTCTCTTAAAAATATTGCTGTTTGATGATTTGCATTAAGCTTTACCATTTATGGTGATTTTCTAAGCGTCGGTATGGATCACCCAGTGAGGATCGAACTCACGCGTAATTTTCCAAGCATGACAAGCTTTCTAACCATAACGCCACATCAAAGAGTTCAATGATTTTCCATTTATGATTAATAAATATAGTTTCTAAGAAGGTGAAATTAATAATAATTTTAAAAGATTTAAAACTTAATTTTTTCTAATTAAAATAAAGAAATGAAAACAATTCTCGTAAAACTCATTATTCATCGAAATTTTTATTTTTTAAAACAATAGTGTCCTTAATATATCGTATTTATACAAGGAATTAAAACTTTCTAATTAAATAATGTCATAGTTTTATTACAATTTTTTTATTTTACGACTCAGAGCAGAATTTCGGTAAATGGTGTTTCTGTTTGACAAAAATAAATTGATGATTTAAATTATCCAAGGAGTCTTGATTTTAACTAATATAAATGTGATGAGGCTGACATGTTAATTCCTAGAAAATTAATAAAATTGAGTGGGGGTAACGGATGTCAAAAAATTATTTTTACCAAGATTTTTAAAAAAATTAAATTTCAAAAATAATTTCATACATTCCTGAAAATTGCATTAAAATTTGACAATTATTTGATTTTTTCAAGAATTTTCAAAACAATGTGTTTTAACGATCCCCCCGCTCTCCCCCCCAATCCCTATAATAATCTTTGGCCCACCCACTGACGGAAGCAAGACAAAAGTTTTAAACAAAATTTAGAACGTACTAGAAAAGATTAAAAAAATATTTTTTGGTGTTTATTTTTAATAATAGCAGAAATAAATAAAGAAATTGTTTTCTTTTTCTCTTAATAATAACAAATATTTGACGATAAAACTTTGCTTTTATCAAGTTTGGGTTCTTTTTTCATCAAGATTTGCTCTTTTTTTTTAGATTATCTTTGGAGGTACTTAATTTAAAGCGTTCTTAAATTTCAAAATATTTCTCGACTTTTGTCGTATATATATATATATATATATATATATATATATATATATATATCTGCTCCTGAAATTAATTTCAGTTGAGCACTCTGGGGAGGAGGTGTGGGTTGGTAAACAGTGACTATTATAGCTATATAGCGAGACTCTTCACGAAAGCGAATTGAGTCACTGTCAGTCACTGGGCATGTTTCTAAAAATAAATATGCTAAAACATCCACCTTCATCCCGACGGCTTAGTGGTTAGAAGCTCCGACTGACACCAATTCAGTCAGTTTTCGATCCTAGCTAGAGGCAACCGGATGTCTATCCACACTGATGAGCTGTAAACAGCGAAACAGTCTGTCTGTGGATGACGTTATATATATATATATATATATAGGGATGCTTAAATGTTCTTATTAAAAGGACGAAGCATTTTCTCCAATTTGAGTAAACCTTATGAGAGTAAATAATAGTTTTTTGGGAACGGCTTGTTTGTCCGGCCGTGACATTTTCTGCAACTACCGTGACATATCTCTGCCCTTCTGTGTGTATGTGTAAATGATATCTGATAAAAATGACGATATTTATTTGAAGTAAAAGCCCAACTGTTGTTTCGTTAATAAACAGCACTGAGCATAGATTCAGCGAACGGATTTCAAACTCCTGCTTGGACTCTATTCGCACTAACGCTATTTTATACATAGCATAACTTGTAGGAAAGTTTCTCCCATTTAGGCGTCTGGTTAACAACTAGATCACGTTACTGGAATTTCAGTAACATCACATGATATGGTGTAATTTTAGTGCGACTATTTGCACAAGGAGATAAACAAGCGACAAATATTGTTGATACAAATGACGTTTGAAACCTGGTTTGAAAATTTTATATGATTTCTCCGGTCACATATTGGCGATAATGGCTAAAAAATTGATCATTTGAACGTCAATTTATTGAGAAATAACGCATTTTTACCAATTTATTTCTGTAGAATATATCAAACCATGCACGGTAATTTATAAAAAAATAAGTCAAATATTTAAAAATTAGAAAATAAGTTCGGGCTGTACGATATTTTTGTGGTTGAAAACTTTAAAGACTGACGCGGTAATTCCAAATCTCACCATGACAAAAAAATAAAAACATAAAAACTGAATAGACAAAGTGATGTAACATCAATAAAAGGGAATAGCAAAGAATTCTTCCGTTTTGCGTCAGCATGCTTTTTTTAATCTCCCACTCACTTGCTGTGTTTCCCGCGAAAACGATAAGAGATAAAGCCAGGTGCTTTGCTGCAGTTTTTTCTGTGGTGTTAACGTCCGTCATTGGTGATACTTTGACCCCACTCAGTCTTCAAAAGACCGGGCTTAAAACGATTATCTGTGAACTTAGCAATCGCTTTGCAACGACTTCTTAAAATCTCGCCAACACAAGATAAAACACATCAGCATTAAAGAAAAGTTTTCTTTCTCCTTCAAATTGTTTCTTGGCTTTAAAGCCAAGAAACACTTTGGCGTGTTTTTAAAACTTTCTCTCCGAGAAAAAATAATCTTTCTCTTTCTCCTCTATTTTACTCCCTCGTTTCGCTTTCTTTTACAAATATATTTTTCTCTCGTTCACAACGCATTGCTGGCATTCCCTTCTGCCTAAATTCTATTTCTGTTTGATATTCTTTTATTTTCGATTTTTTAAAACTTTATCCATATGTACCTCTTCGTCTATTTCTTCTTTCATTTAATCAATTTAATTCTTCATTGTAAATTTTTTTACCTCCAATTTTGTTGCTTTTCTTTTATTTAATTTCTTCTATTTCTTTCTTGCTTTGTTTTTTCTTTCGTTTTCCTTCCTTCCTTCCTTTCTTCCTTCCTTTCTTTCTTTCTTTCATTACCCTCAAGACTTTTTTTCTTTTATTTTGCCATCGTTCACATATCTCTTTTCTTCCCACGGCAATATTGCTTTTTATCTTTCGGCAAATTTCTTGATAACGCAATATATTTTCTTTTTTCTTTCTATTTCGATTCGCCACCCACCTTCTCGCCCATTCATAGCTCTTCCTTCATTTCTCTCTATTTACTTTTCTTCTTTCTTCTATTTCTTCTCGAATCCCGCCTATTTCATTTTCTCTTTTTTCTAAAATACTTTCTTCATTTTTTTTTCCAGAAACGTCCTCGTGCTTAAATATACGCCTTTTCCAAGGCACACGGAGAGATTTGCTGGCGTTTCAAAGTCAGTTAATTCCCGTGTGTGAACCAGAGTTATTGCGATTTTTTTTTAGACAAAACTAAACTTGGTTTCTGGATGGCTGCCGTGCATCGACAGATTCTATCTCGTTGTGGGTCTTCTACAAATTGTTTTTCAGTTTTTCTTCTTGTATATTTTCTTTTTAAACTTTTTCTTGTTTTTTTTGTATTCTTTTATTGTTATTGATCATCGATCTCTCTTTTTTCTATCTGTTCTTCTTCTTATCTTATTAATGTTTTTCACTTCTTCTTATTTTACTTGTTCGTCTAGTTTGTCTTTTAATTTTTATTTTTGATCTAATGATTTTTACTTTTGTTTTGTTGCTGTCGTTGTCGATATTTGTTTTTCCTGTTTCTAATTCTTGTTCTTGTTTTGTGCTGTTGTTGCTCCTTTGTTATTATAGTCGTCGTCGTCGTCGTCATCTTCTTTTTCCTCCCTTCTTCTTTTAATTTCTCTTGTTCTTCATTTTTTGCATGTTCTTAACTTTCATACGTGTCGGTACTGTTGTTACTATTTTTGTTTGTCTGTTCTTGTTCGTGTGGGTCTCGTCGTTGTGGCTGTTCGCTTTTTTTCTTTTTCTGCCTGCTCTCTCTTCTTGCACAAATATGCTCATATACTTCAGTCTATCTATCTATCTATCTATCTATCTATCTATCTATCTATCTCTTTCACACACACACATACACGCACACATGTAAAATAATTTCTGCTTGTTTCCACCAAGAGAAAATTTGACTCTCTGTTCTGTCTCTCACTCTTCCCTCTCCCACTTCCTCCTCTCTCCATATATAAATATATAGAGAGAGTTTCCAAGCGTAGCTTAGATGTGGCAAAAAGCCGAATGTATGGGACACCCAATAAGGATCGTAATTGTTTTAGCAAGACAAGCTTGCTAACCATTACACGGCCTCGAGGTGCCCACTCTCCCTCGAATAACAACTTGTGCAATTGTAGGAATAATTGTCCACTACAGAATAATTGTTTGACTAGTTCTATAGTTTATCTTAGTACAATCTCTACACTAGAAAACCCAAATATCAAAAATTTTTACATCGGTAGCACCATAAATTCATTCAAGGAACGTTGGCGGGGACATATGCAATCTTTTAATAGCAGTATTTATAAGTACAAGACTTCATTATCCAAGAATTTTTGGAGTCTAAAAGAAAAGAATACAACACCTATTGTTAAATGGAAATTAATCAAGAGGGCGCGAACATGTAACTTCCCTATATGCCCCTTGCTATCTATGGCTTAATGAAGAATTTGAAATAATTAGATGTAAAAATAAGACCCACCTCTTAAATCAAAGATATGAACTAACGGTAAACAGCGCTATAAATTTAACTTACTATAGGGATAGTAATACTTTTAACGATAATGATATGTCACTGTAAGTTTAATAGATTATTACTTTTATTACCTGATGGTCCTCCTCTTGATCTGGGTGTGTGTTGGTATACGTGTACTGTGTTGTTCGTGTCGTCATGCACACACACACATGTGTGTGCTTTTCCTGATTGATGTATATATACATATGTGTGTGTAAGTTTTTTTTTTTATAAAAAGAAGGAAGGTGAAAAAAAGGAAAAAAGAGGAGAAAGAGAGAAAAAGAAATAAATAGGAGGGGAAAGGAAAGAAAAAGAAAAGAAGGAAAGGAGGAGAAAAAGAGAGGAGGGAAATATATATATGTATATATATATATATATCTGGGTCTGTGTGTATGTATATATTTCTATTTGCGTGTACTTCTGTATGTATATATATATGTTTATGTGTATGTATGTGGGGGTATATATGTTTGTATATATATATATATATATGCGTGTATGTGTGCGTACTTATATATGTGGATGTGTATGGGTGAGTATTTATGTATGTTTATATATATGTATATGTGGATGTATGTGTGTATGTCTTCGTATATATATATGCTAGTGTCTTGTAATGTATCATCAATACTAACTAAAATCTACTTTTGTTTGATAATGGTTTTATAATTGCTTATAGACTTAATAATCAACAATTGTGTCTCGTTACATTTTAATATTGGATGGACTTTACTTTTTATCAATAAGATAATATTGTTAAAATATGTATAGGTTTATGTATGTATATGCCTATCTATAAGTGTATATATATATATATATATAT